ATTTCTTGAAGCAATAATTTTTCTCATATATCTCCTTGAACAAGGGAAACAAGAGAAAAAATAAACAAATTGGACTATATCAAACTAAAAAGTGTTTGCATAACAAATGAAACCATTGACGAAATGAAAAGACAACCCACTGAATGGGAGAACATATTCACCACTATTACATCTGATAAGGGATTAATATTCAAAATTTATGAAGAACTTATAAAACTCAACAACAACAACAACAAACAGTCCAATAAAAAATGGGCAAAGGACCTGAATAGACATTTCTCTAAAGAGGACATACAGATGGCCAATACACACATGTAAAGATTCTTAATGTCACTAATCATCAGAGAAATGCAAATTAAAACACAGTGAGATATCACCTCACACCTGTCAGAATAGCTATTAATAATACATAAATCAACAAAAAGCAAATGTTGGTGAGGACATGGAAAAAAGGGAACCTTTGTGCTTTTTTAGAGGAAATACAAATTGGCCACTGCGGAAAACAGTATGGAGTTTCCTCAAAAAATTAAAAATGGGACTGCCATATGACCCAGTGATTCCACTTCTGGGAATATATCTGAAGAAACTCAGAACACTAATTTTAAAGAATATCTGTACCCCTATGTTCATTGCAGTATCACTTACAATAGCCAAGATCTGGAAGCAGTCCAAGGGCCCATCAGTAGATGAGTGAATAAAGCAGCTGTGGTACATTTACACAATGAATATAAAAATAAATTGAAAGAAAAGAAAGGACTTTTATTTTTTGTGACAGCCTGGATGGACCTGGAGAGATTAAGATAAATGCAATAACCCAGTCAGGGGAAGAAAAATGCCATATGATTTTGCTTATATGTGGAATCTAATGAACAAAATAAACTAACAAACAAAATACAAACAGACTCATAGATACAGAGAACAGTCTGACTGCTGTCAGAAGGCGAGTGGGGTTTGGGGACTGGGTGACAAAGGTAAAGAGATTAAGAAAAAAAATCATAGACACAGACAACAGCATGGTGATTATCAGAGATAAAGCAGAGTAGGGGAAGGCAGGATGGGGGTAAAGTGTGGATAAATGGTGATAGAAAACTTGACTTGGGGTAGTGAACACACAATACAATATACAGATAACATGTTACGGAATTGTAAACCTGAAATCTGTTGGGGACCACTTTGCGTGGTATTGGGAACTGTGGCCCTGTGCGAGGTAAGCTTTGAAAAGGGCCTGTAAGCCTCAGCTAGAAAACTAAGAATGCTGGAGGCAGGCATAACCCTATACTGACACCGGGAGTACCCTGGGAGATCTGGCCTAAAGAACGCAATACAATTACCGAAGCTTGCTCTGTTTTGAACTGCCCTGGTAAGGAAATACTAGGTGTTTGACTTCACAGCAGGGAGAAACTTCCTGAGCCCCACCCAGTGTCCGCTTGTCTGACAGACCCTGATCTAAATATTTATAGCCTTTCGATGGATTGATAAGCTTTGCATGCATTCTGTAAACCCCCTGTGAATATCGTTCTCAATAAAAGCCATTTCAGAGAAGGGCTCAGGGCATTCTCCACCAGAGAGAATCACCACCCCCTTTTCCTGGCAGACAAATCGTGTCTGGTACAATTTATTTATTCATCCATGGCAGATGGGAAGATTCTGCAGGACAGAAACCTATATAATTTTATTAACCAATATCACCCCAATTAATTAAAAAACAATTTTTAAAATATATAGTAAAAAAAAAAAGGATTTAAATGGGAAGGCAGTAATTTGTAGTTATGGACATTAAGGAATCAGAATCAGAATCAAAGGAAGAAATAAAGGAGATGACTAAGACATTTTATATGCCATTATTATCAAGATCACCTATAAGCAGGGGGTGTCTTTGGCCATATTTCTCCCAAAACAAATCCTAAGTAAATGCAAGTAGTTTATTGGGGTGGTGACCCCAGGAAAGACAAATAGACTGGAGAAGTGAGAGAAGGAAGGGAAGAAAACCAATATGGGTTATCAGTTTGGGAAACTGGGGTTCAATTGCACTTTTGAGCATGTTAGAGAGTTGTCCCACTTGAGGGACAAAGCGGGGAGAGAGAGAAGGAATCTAGAATATTCATACCTATCATTGGCTGAGGGCTGCCCCAAACGCAGTATTCTCTCCGTGGCACTTCCATTTGTTGGGCACACCTGGACTAAAGGAAGGCTCTTATGTGGAGAATCACAGGTGTTTGCAATGGGTCAGACATGGGCAAGGAGGGCACTGGCACTCTATGACCAGGGCACTGTGAAATCCACATTACACTACTTTATGTAATAGACAGATTTTCAGCTTTCCTCCTAGTCTGGTGTGAGCTGATGACAAATCTGAGCAGGTGGGCTTCCTCCACTCTGTCCTTAGTCACATTTGGTAAACTGAGGCAACCCTACCTCTTCTAAAATTTCCTCATGTTCCAAAAGCAGGGCCAGTGATTCCTTCCTGCTGTCAGAGCACTTGCATACATTTTCTGGAGCATTTCCAGGGTAGGTGCCAATTGGCTTCCATCACCTTTTACTTGGAGCACTGACCTGCTGCTTCTAGCTGACTAGTAAAAACTGAAGAAGCACTGTAATTAAGCCATTCAGTTTTCAACAAATATTTACTGAGTATTGTCTTACTTTTTGGTTTTCCCAAAGACAGCCTGAGATAAGAGCTTCAATACAAGTACTTTATCTGGGAGAGGAGGCCCAAGAAGAAGGGAAAGCCAATGTAGGGGTTGGGCGTGACTGAGCTAGTTAGCACTGTGGGCATCTGCATCTCAATTTTACTCTTATGAAGCATGGAAGGCTGAAGCATTCATCCCCAAGTAGTTAAGTGTTGACTTCCTGAACTTCCAGACTGCGCCTCCTTCCAGGGCTGCCAGAGGAAATTCTAAGGTAAGCCCTAACATGGACAGCAAAGAGTTATGTGAGGTGGCAGCATTCATGGGAATTATTCATCATCATCAGAGAGCTGAAGCCAGATGCACCAAGGGGATATGGGCACATACCATGTGCCAGACCAAGTGCTAGGTGCTGGGCATGCAACAATCATGAGGGCAAATCACCTCCTTGCTTTCATGGAGCTTATCTTTCAGTAATGGAACAACAAATATACCAATATACAAATCAACAAATAACCAAGCAATAGATGTGATAAGTGCTATGGAGAAAAACATACAGTAGTGGGGAGATCACTCTAGATGAAGTGGTTTAAAGAGGTACTTTTTCATCTGAGCCTTAAAAAATGAGAAAGAAACTATGTCTCAGTCCATCTGGGCTGCTATAATAAAAATACCATAGACCAGGTGGTTTATAAATAACAAACATTTATTTCTTACAGTCCTGAAGGCTAGGAAGTCCAACATCAAGATGCTGGCAGATCTGGTGTCTGGTAAGGGCCAGCTTCCTCAGAGCCCTGTCATCTCACTGCACCCTTATATAGTAGAAAGGGTGAGGGATCGCTCTCCATGTTCTTTTATAAAGACATAATACAAATAATCTCCCCAAAGCCTTACCTCCTAATGCCATCACCTTGAGTATTAGGATTTCAACATATGAATTTTGCGGGAACAAACATTCAGACCATAGCAATTTACTAAGGAAAGACCTGGGGGAAGAGCTTTCCAAACAATTAATAGTATATGCAAAAGCCCATGTCAGCGAAAGTGACAAATTCTAGAAACTCTAATGGTAAAATATGATCAGAGATGTTGCAAATGAGGTAGACAGAAGCAGGGACATCACAATTCCATGAAAAGGCATTTCAAAATATTAGAATAAATGTAAATTAAAACTGTATGTGAGATAGAATTTTGTAACATTTGGATTGGCAAAGATATAAAGGTTTGGAAAGACTATTTGTAAAAATGTGGAGAAACCCACACGCCTATACATTACTGTGGGAATGTCAACTAATACAATATCTAACGAACAATTTAGCCATATGTATCCAATGTTTAAAAGAAAAAAGGAGGGAGAACATATCCTTTATCACAGCAATTCCTGTTCTACACGTGTGCACAAAGATAGTCTCTGGAAACCTGCAGCATCGTTCATTACAGCAAACATCTAGAACAACGGACTGAAGGCAATACCCAATGAGGTGCTTGACATTCTCCAGCTGCCCAGTCCTGGTTTGCCACACTGTCCTTACATTTTATCTGGTTGGCTCCCACTTACTCTCAAAAGTGTCCCTTTAAACCCACTGTGTTTCAGAAATCCACTAACACTGTTCCAGGGCCTACCCTACACTGTCTCCAGGAAGGGAGCACCCAAACCTCCTTGGGCAGCCCAATCTCGAGGGAAGTTGGGAAGGGGGCTCTAGGTCTAGTGGGTTAAAAAAGGAGACTGACGAAAGGGACATTTGGGCAGCTCCTACAAGGAGGATCCCTTAGTAAACTGGGAGCCAGCACCCGCAACTAACACAAGTGGGGAGCTGGCAAACTTGGCCATTTCTAGGAAGATACAGGAGGATGGGGATTGAGAAGAGGAAGAATTTTATTGCACTGCCTATTTTGTTGCAGATGCACTTTCTATCATGTATTTATTGCCTTTTAAAAAATAATAAAAGTAACTTTACATGTGAACTCAAGGAAAATTTAAAAACTTTGCAGGTTGGTCAAGTTGTGAGGATGTAGTGGTAAAACGTCTCGGCCAGACACGACGAAGGCCTGCTCCCCCCTGCCCCCCCCCCCTCCCCGTGAAGAACCCATATAAGCTAGGTGCGAAGCTGAATCTGGCCGAGAGCCGCACTGGGGTTCTGGCAGCCCAACGATGCTGAGATCCCAGGTCTGTGGCAACACCAGTCAGGTTCCGTGCTGGAAGGAACGACCAGATAAACCCACGTGTTATGAGCCACTGCACCCACGCAGCGCGGTCGCCGACAGCTATCCCTCCCCCTTCTCGGCTCCCACCCCCCGTCCCCGCCCTACTCCGCGCTTGCGTACTGGTCCTGCGACGCCCGGTCTCTATACCGCGCCTGCGCACTGGTCCCGCGACAACCGGCCCGGCTCGGCGGCGGGAATGTAGCTTGAAAGTGCTTGGGCCCAGTACCCCGGGATCCGCGGATTCGCTGTCGCCTGTGAGTGGAGGTCAAGGTGATGCGACTGGGGTGGGAGAACAGGCAGACACCCTCAGTGGCTCCCACCCCCATCCCCAGCTGCCCGGGAACGACACCTACGTCCGTAGATAGGGTAGAGGGGCAGAGCCCGGGCGGGTGCGGAGCTGGTGGAATCTGCAGGTCCAAGATAACCGACAGCTCGTGGCCTTCCGGTGTGCTGGTGTGCTGTGCCGTGGAGTAAGGGCTGGGGTGGTGGAGGGTCGGAATGGTGGAGTGTCGGGAGCTCCTGGGGTGCAGAACCTCTTTCCTGTCAACTCCGGTCTCCAGCGGCAGCTGTTGGAGATGGCCTCGGAGTCAGTCGCGCACTGGCCTTTCCTCCTGCCGCCTTCCTATCCCAGCTCAATTAGTTTTCCTTGGACTCTGAACCTCCGCGACCCGTGAGGAGCACATTCAGTATTCTGGCAATCCTGCTGCATTTATTCATTCAGCCAGCATTTGCTGTCCGTAGTCCCATCTCTGTGCCGGGTGCAGCAGCCTCGTCGGCCTTTGCAGTAGGATACATCATATGTAAAGGTGTTTGTTTAATGCGTAGGCAAATTTAGCATATAGGAAGGACAAAAAGACCCCTTCCCTCCTGGCCCTCACAGCTCAGTTGAGGAACCCAGGAAACAGGTGAGGCTATGCCCTTCAGACAGTACTTGAGGGTGTGAGGACAATTAACTCTGACATCGGATAGGTGACCAGAACTCATGAAGAGGTCAAAGTGATTCTGCCTGAGCTTACTAATGAGCTTCAGGCTGTGTGAGGAAGAGACCCCGAGGTGAACAGAGCTGGACACCAGACTGGACTCTGTTCAGTGGAAACTAGTAAACAGCCAGGGGAATGTGGACAAGAGGGGCGGGATGGGTAGGAGATCATGGAAGGAAGAGTGATTTTTATTTTAAGTGCAGCTAAAAGCCATAGAATGGTTTTAAGTGTTGTAGAAAAGACTTAATAGCTCTGTAGGTTATTGTGGACACAATCCCCCATCCTTGGTGTCCACCCAAAGGAATCAGTCACCTCAGAAGTAACCTAGGCATTTCCAGGCACTTGTGTTCCAGGATTGGGTATGGAGCCTCAGGGATGAAGGCGGTCCTAGCTCAAAACCCCCGGTGAGAGAATCTGAAACTTCTAGGAAGGAGATTCCTTGAGGATAGATTGATGGTGATTGTGATTACCAAGGGCTCTCTGACCAACTGTGCAAGAGCCATGATGTCTGGGAGCTTTTCCTATTGGTGTTACCATGGTATGAACAAGGTCCATGGAAAGTCTATCAAGCAAGTCTAAAAAGTGGTTTTTGTCTGTTGTCCCCCAACTTCTGCCCTCAGAAGTGTCATTTGGCTAATATCGGTGTGTTTCCATCTCCCTCCTTGAACCTTACATGAAAAACCAGAGAAGTGGACAACCAAAGAAAAAGGTCTGCAAGTACCTCCCTCCTCCTGGATCCTAAAAAGGAAGCAACGGGTGTGTTATTGATGGGACCGATTCATCTGTAGTTTTTATGCAGAAAAAGGGAGAAAAATCCATTTAAACCTGCCAGGAGAATAAGTGGTGGTTTGCTAATGTACTTTGGTTCTGGATAGGTTTTTAGCATATGTCACAGTCCTTTGTGCAGATGGCTGCTTTGTGTACTTAAACTGAAAACCTTGAAGCAACTAGCAAACAGATTAGGTGGCCACCATCCAAATCAAATAGACCTTTTATTTCTAAGAGCCAGCCTGCCATCCCCAGCTCCTAGAAACCTAGCCAAGTATGCAGCAGGCACCTTCCTCTGACATCACTGATCCACACCCAGATTCTCCTCTTTGACCTCTGCCTGCCCCTGACAGAGGGTGGCCCTGTCAGGAGCCAGCTGGGTGCAAAGTTTGCCCAGCCAAAGCTTTCTGTTTGCCTCTGCGTATGTTATACTTTGTCCCACCTGCCAGTCTTCTTAATGTTCCTTACAGCTTTGTTCTAGACTCCCCTTTAAAGAAAAAAACTAAACTAAAGTTGAATTACTTTCCTCAGTGAACCTCTGGGTAGGCCTGATCAATATATTTACAGTGTTAGTGGTGTCCACAGAAATGTGATTTGTCTCTACTGCAGGTGTCATAGCTCTGGACAAACACCTGAACCCAGAGGAGTGAAATTGGCTTTCAGTTTTGGCCTCAAGGGCTTGGAGGTGTGGGCCAGGCTGTTTCTGGCTCTATCAGTATTATGTTCTATTTGGACTCTCTTAATGTCACCCGGAACTTGTGGTGTATAACTTAAATGATTATGTGTATATAATTTCATGTACGTTTTTTGGTTGTCTAAAGTAGAGTCTTGTATTAATAGGGAAAGGGAAGTTATTGAAAGCCAGAAAATTTTGTCTGTGCCTCACAACATGCTAGCTGTCTAATCCTGGGCAAGTCTGTTTACAAATATTCCCAGGGCCTTGGTGTAGTCGTATGGAAATAAGTCTTTGTGTGCCATATGATGTAAGTATCAGCGTTGTGGGCCTCTGATGTAGGATATAGCACACAAAGATATTTTTCAATGGGTAGACAAATTTAATAAAGAGTATCCTTTGCCTCCAAATATGATTATCACTTGTTAATCTGATCATGTAGAACATAGTTCTTAGACTAATGTAGAACATGATAAAACTTGATTATGTCAAAAGATTTCATAAAACACTTTTATGTTTACAAGGTGTTAGTATTGCTTTTATGTCCTCATGATTCATCCTCAGAAGTAGCTGCTTTAACACCTTTTGTGTGAATACTTTTTTTAAAGATCACTTACCGACAGGAACTTTGGGTTATAGTAACCTAACCAAAGGAGGCCTATGAGAGGGCCACTTGTGGGTAAGTGGTAAGTTGAGGGCCAGGTTGTGTCTCAGCCTCTACTCATTTCCTGGGTTTTCTCTCTGTTGCTGACTTCTTCATTCCTGATCTCAGCTAACATCACCTTAATGTGGATAATTCCCCAGTCCCAGCCCTAATCCTGTCATCTCTCACAGAGCAGTTCATTTCTGATTGTTGTTCTGCTGTCATTTCAAACTCAGCATGTAGAAAACCTGGTCACTTCTGGCTCTTAGCAAACCGCCACCTCCCAAATGGCCTACTTCTATCGGTGGTCATCACCTAGGTCCTAGAGCATCTTCCGTGCCTCCACCTTCCCCCGACTGCCTGTTGGTGAATTGCTAAGGTGTCAGCTAGCCTTCTTCACAAGCAAGTATTGGCTGAGCAGTAGCTCAGCTCTGGCCTTGTGTCAGAGGTTGGAGGTTCGGGATGAGTGACCTAGTCCTTGCTGTCAGAGAGGCACTGTCTTAACTGAAAGGAAGATGTCGCAGGGAGCACCATGTGAGGCACTCCTGGATCTGAGGGTTACTGTCTGGAGCCAGCAGAGGAGGGAATGGGGCTCCGAATCCCAGAGAGCCCGTCCTGCGGTTGTCAGAGATGGGGAAATAAACACAAGTTGTTGCAAACACTTCTCTGTGTGCCAGGAGAGGGGACATGGCTCTTCCCTCTAGTGGAGAAGGTCCCAAGCCCCCGTGTCCAAAGGCTTTTATTGAGACCCATAATCACAGGGGTATACAACAAAGTTCACCAATCAATGTTAAAAGGCTATGTTTACAGAAAACAAAAAGAGATCATAGATAACAATTGGAGGAACATGAGATCTGCCTCAGGTCAGGGTCTATGAATAATGTAAATCTCCTTCCCAGCATGAACCAGTTATCATAGCTTTTGAGGGAAGAACAAAGCATACTTCAAGGAACTAATTTCTAGGCCTGATTGTCCCCAGAACAGCCTGATCCAGTTTAGGGCTGTGCCTGCCTTTAGTAGTGTTTCAAACCTGAGCCAGGCAGGCCAGGCCAAACCACCAAGAGATAAGGAGACTTCTTTCAGATAGAATGAGGACTCCAGCCATATCAAAGCCTCTTGCCCTTTTTCCATGTCCCCCAAGTCCTTGTCCTGCTGCCCATACCGGCCGTGTCTGTCTTAGGTCATCCCTCCTCTTGAGAGACCTTACCCATCTTTGACTGCCAACCATCACAGGGCCGAGCAGGGTGATGTGATGGGGACAGGTTTTGTCTCCTCAGTGGCCTGTTTTCCCAAGGCCTTCTTGATTATTTCCAGCCTTGAGGCCCTCTCACCGGTTGGTGGGGATGCAGTCCTTGAAACCAGGAGGGGTGTTTCCCAACAGGAAGAGAGGCAGTCTACCTACATCTTCCTCAGGGAAGGGAAGTGTGTAGAGCATCAAGGAGCCCAAGTGAGGAGCCTCCAGCTGCCAGGGTTCAGAGTGGCAGTAAGCATCTTAAGTAGGTTTTGTAGAGGTGTAGAGAAAGGACCAAAGGAAAAGGATTCTAAAAAGAAACATAATATTTTAGGGTGGAAGAATCTCAGTAAGACATGATCTCTCACCTTTGTTGAGAGCGTAAGGTGTGACTAGTAACTTTAAAACAGTTTTGAACTTGATATAATAAGCAGTCCTAGCCCTCTTCATTTCCCTCCAACCACTGCCTTTAGTCCTGTGTTCACAGAACTCATTGCCTCAGAGCCATTAAAGGATTTTTTAATGTGATGAAATATACATAACAAAATTTACCATTTTTAAGTATATAATTCAGAGGCATCAAGTACATTGTTGTGCTCATCACTACCATCGATTTCCAGAACTTTTTCATATTCCCAAATTGAATCACTGCACCCATTAAACAGTTATTCATCTCCTGCCTTGCCCCAGCCCCTGGAACCATTATTCTTCTTTTTGTTTGTATGAATTTGACTATTCTAGGCACCTCATGTAAGTGTAATATTTTGCTTGCTGTGACTGGCTTATTTCACTTAGTAGAGTGTCTTCAAGGTTCATCTGTGTCATAGCATTTATCAGGGTTTCCTTCCTTTTTAAGACTGAATAATATTCTATGGTATGGATATACCACATTTTCTTTATCCATTCATCTATGGATGGACATTTGGGCTATTCCTACCTGTTGGCTACTGTGAACAATGCCGCAGTGAACAGGAGTGTGGAATAATCTCAAGACTCTGCTTTTAGCTCTTTTGATGATATACCCAGAAATAACATTATTGGATCATATGGTAATTTTATTTTTAGTTTTTTGAGCAACCTTCATACTGTTTTCCATAGTGGTTGCAATATTTTATAACCCCACAAGGTTTCCGATTTCTCCACATCCTTCCCAACATTTGTTAATTTTTTTTTTATAGTAGCTATCCTAATTTGTGTCACGTGATATATCATTGTGGTTTTGCATATGTCTAATAATTAGTGATGTTGAGCATCTTTTCATATGCTTGTTGTATTATATCTTCAGAGAGATGTCTATTTAGGTACTTTTTTTAATCAAGTATTGTTGTTGCTGTTGTTGTTAAGTTTTAGTAGTTCTCTATATATTCTGAATTTTAATACCTTATCAGATATGTGACTTGTGAATATTTTCTCCCATTCTGTGGGTTGCCTTTTTTCTCTGCGTTTAGTGTCCTTAGATGAACAAAGGTTTTCTAATTTTGATGTAGTCCCACTTGTATATTTTTGCTTTTGTTGCCTGTATTTTGGTGTCTTATCTAAGAAATCATTGCCAATTTAATATTGTGAAACATTTCTATGACTTATTCTAAGAGTTTTATAGTTTTAGGTTTTACATTTAAGTCTTTAATCCATTTTGAGTTAAAATCTGTATATGATGTAAGAAAAAAACTTCATTTTTTTTTCTATGTGGATAACAGTTTTCCTAGTATGACTTATTAAAGAGGACTATCTATTGCCCAATGAATGGTCTTGGTACCCTTGTCAAAGATCATTTGTTTCTGGGCTCTTATTCTATTCCATTGGTCTATTTGTCTTTATACCACTATTACCATGTGTTAATTACTGTAGCTTTATAGGCTATTAATATACTACAAAGTTATATATAGCTTTGCAGTATAGTAAAATGCAGGGACTATGCTAATATTCTCTGTATTGTTCCAATTTTTGTATATGTGCTGCCGAAGCAAGCACTGTAGTCTGTTCTGAAATCAGGAAGTATGAGACCTCCAACTTGGTTCTTCTTTTGCATGGTAGTTTTGGTGATTTGGAATCCCTAGATATTCCATTTGATTTTTAGGGTGGGCTTTTTTCTATTGCTACGAGGAAAAAAAAAAAGATAGTTGCTGGGATCTTGATAAGGTTGCATTGAATCTATGGGTCACTTTGGATAACATTGACACCTTACCAGTATAGCCTTCCAGTCCATGAACGTGGGATATCTTTGTATTTATTGTACTCTTACTTAATTTCTTTTAGTACCATTTTGTAGCATTAGGGTCTTGCACATCTTCAGTTAACTTTATTCCTAAGTATTTTATTTTTTTGATGCTATTGTAAATGGAATTGCTTAGTGATACTGTAAATGGAATTCAGTGCTATTGTAAATGAAATTGTTTTCTTAGTGTTCTTTTCAAATTACTCATTGTAGTGTATAGAAACAA